ACCTGAATGCCATCGTATTCCGTGATGTAGGACTCTTTGTACTCAGGTCGCTGGTGTTCACTGTGAGCCTCAGTATCGTTACTGCCTACAGCTGGGCCCGCTTGGTCAGGTCCAGTCAGTGGGCCTGCCTTCAGCGTGACCTTATCACCAATCCAGTGCGCCATGACTGTCCACCGGAGTACACAAAAGTATGGCAGAGGTAGGAATAGAGAGCAGGTAGGGAGAAAAGAGGAAGCAGGCACAGATGACTGATAGGGATGGACCAGTGAGTACACCCGAGGTGCCAACAATCACAGATACCGGCAGAGGTAACAAAAGGAGACAGCCAAAGGGAGGGGAGGAAGAAGAAAGCAAAAAGGGAGGGAAAGTAAAATAGGGAAAGGGTACTCCCCTGACACGTCTTTAGTCAGAGGAGTGGGAGCCCTGTAATGGGAAAGTGGTTTGAGCCACAGATATGCGACAGGGTATACAAAACTGCTGCCAGATCTCAATCTTTAGAACTTGACCAATGTGGGCACGTGTACTCATGAGTACCTCTGCTGATCATGCTCTCTGTCGTGATGGAAACACAACTCTCTTTTTGCCAGAATTTACTAATTGGCGATATTACACCTGAATATGATAGGATTAGCCCCTGCTTCGAGCCGGTTGATTCATCAAAAACTTGTTAAACAGTGAGTAAGTTGAGTGTAGCTGTGCTGTACATGAGCTGTGGCTATGTACATCGTAGATGAATCTGTGAGGCCTATTCCTTCACGGAAAAGCTGTTCAAGCAGCAAATCATCAAGGCGGTCTACCGTCTCTTCTTTGATCGAGAAAACGCAGGGGGTCCTGTGCATGAGTCCATTGGATATGAGGAGATAGTCTTGGATTTGTTGCTCTTCAAGTCTGAGTACTGCATGTGTAGCAGTGTGTGCGATCCATGTCTCAGCATCAGGCATTCGTAGGTGTAAAATTAACAGTTCGATGTTGTCTCCTATGACTCCAGAAGGAGGTCTTGCTTCGAGCGATATTGCTCCGATAACTCCATCCACTACATCTAAGTGCTTCATTTCGTCACCATGGCAAATCAGTGTGCGCTGCGTGGCTAAGTCTCTATGTCTAGCGGTAACAGCTCGAAAACATCAAATGAACTCAACGGATGTATACTGAGTGGTATTAATTGGATTTGTGTTGTGAGGTAGCAACTCTTGAGCACATGATGGCCAGCGAAGGTAATGGGTGGCCCGTAAATCATGCAAATTCCACAAATCTGAGATACAGCAACTCTAAAACCCCAGCCATCTCACTTTTGGTTACAGGAGGACGACCTCCGGCGCACTCAACTCTCTGTCGGGACTGCGAATGGCCGCAGTGGGCGGATCCTGCACGAGAAGACTAAATCTTATGGCGGGAGCCATCATTCTGGCTACTTCCGCTAGGAGCGTGCTTGGTTGGAGTCTTTGCACTGTTGAATTGGTTCCAGCTGCTATGGTGGTCCAGATGCGGAGGTTGGGTGGCAACCCGGTCCGTAATAGTAGAAAAGCAACTTCCACCACTGTATCAGCTGCTTGCCGCATGGTCCTGCGGTCCAAAAAAACGCCCAGGGTCGCAGTGATGTGTATTGTCTGGATAGTCAGCCGAAATGGTCGGGCATCTATTGGCACTGGTGCAAGTCCCGCCTGATCAGTCATGCCTCCATCAGCAGCTGGAACTAAGTATAGGTGGTTGACCCACACACCTCGTGTAGACGGGCGACTAAAACCTGCCACTTGGACTATGTCCTCGTATGATGCTGCTAGTGCTGTCAAGAGATGCTGTGTGATGCGCTGTCCGTCCAATTCAACCTGCTGGAGGTCAGCTTCTAAGGTGTTATATATCAATTGCAGTCCATGTGCTTCTTCTGGAAAAAAGGTGACACATCCACTCTGCACTAGCCGTACTGTGCGCCTGAGGTCTCGCACAGCTACCATAAGTTCTTGCGCTGCTTCCAAGCTATATAAGATCATCTTTACTGGCATAGAGAAATGGTGTTCTTCACCACGGAGTCGCACATAATCCATGGCAGTACGGGTAGAGAGAGTGGGGGCCCACTATATACAGATTGCTACCTTGCAAGTATAGTGAGAGTGACAATTAAGATGGCAGTTAGTCGATGTTGTTGTCAGTCAGTTGCAATCCCGACACGTCTTTGGTCGGAAAGACAACGTGACCGTCATGGTTACTGTATTGAATGTCAGGCATGTTAAATATTGGGTCATGTCGGTCATGCCTCTATGATGACTGTCTCGCTAGGGTATCTCAGCCAGTGTGATGGGGAAGATTGATTTTATTCCTATCCCATTGTCACTGAAATACGCTCACATCTAATCTTCACACCCTTGACTTAGAGAAGAGCCTAGGACACCAAGCAAGTTAACCATTGTGTACGAGTTAATACTGGAAAACAAGTACAGACAAGTTAAATGCGGGTTGGGGGTCATCCTAAGCCCGTCGTGAACATTCCATAAACTCACCTTCATAGGACTGTCATCTAACTTGCTAGTAGGTGGGCAGGGGATATTGCTTGTTAGGCATGACAGCTTAGGGGGGATGAAGAACCTGTGAGCAGACATAAAGGCATGTTCACACTGCAGTCAGCGACAGCAAAGTCAAGAGGAGGATGAATGTGCCCCTAATAGGTGAGCATGTGGTTCAGTTCCCTTAAAGGTTATTTGCGTGACATGCGAGAATCACCACAGGAAAGGCTGACCAGTGAACCACCTTTTTTGATTGCCTGACGATCAACTTCACCGGACTTCTGCTAAGTCACTGGGCCTCACAGGTCATCGAAGATGGTTGCATACGCTTCACTGAGGGCATACCAATTTTGCTGTAGTCGATAAAGTGCTCGGTTGGCTTCTTGTACAAGGTCATTATGTTGCATTTGCAGCACTTGGATGCCTTCACTGAGTTGGAAGATCCGATCCGCTTCATCTTCATGATTAGGAAAATGGCCTGCTATTGCATTTTGGCACTCTTGCGAGAGCCGGAAATCAAAGCACGGTCGATCATCTTCATGGACAGCACTGTTGATTCGTGATTGCTCACTCAGTGCGATTCCTTCTAGGGTTGGCTGCAGTGTTTCAATGCGATTGCCTAGTATATTGTAAGCATGCATAATTTCTGCAATAATAGCACATTGTTGGGCATTCTTTGCAACTATTGCAAAACGTCTGGAGTTGGCCACGCATGCATATCCGTTGTGTCGCACCTCTGCTGCGAAGGGATAAAAACCTCCATAGCCTGCGATATTCAACCAAGCCTGCAGGTAAACCTCGTCACACTCTCGAGGAATGACCTTATGGAATCCATGGGGCAATGAAGCCCCCATCACTACTGTTGTCTCCTCCGGAAGCCATGACTCATCTTCAGCCCATAGGATGTTCCATTTTTCTCCATTGAGCCATGTGCATACTTCCATCAAGTTAAATACCCTGCACTCTATGTTGACATTGTGACATAGCCTATGGATAGGATACTTGCCGCGATGTAGATTCGTCAACATATTTGGAGTGCTCTGAATGGTTTCAACGTTATAACCTTTCCAATGGTAGTTCCTCAGAAATGTCATGAGCGCGGTCGACATGGCTACGCGAGTGGAGCGCTTGCCAGGTGCAGTCCTGACACGTCTTTAGTCGGAAAAGCACCGTGGCTTGGCACCTAAGGATAACCTATACTATTTATGGTGGTGTCAGGCAACATTGTTAGCATCATTGAAAGTAGCACATCATTAGGTCAGCTGTGTTGTCTGAACTCTGTTTGAGCCGATAGACTACGTGTGCTAGGATAGTGCTGTGAACTTCGTCACCCTGTATTGGAAATCTAGTGGCTGTCGGCATGGAAAAGCTTTGATATAACCTACTAATGACAACGACGTCTTTCGGGGGAAGGGCCCCTTACGGGTGAACATGCCCCGGGGTAAAAAGTTTAAAACAAGCAGGAATTATAGGGTAGAAAAAAAAACATTGAAAATCAATGCCTTCCAAAATTGAGTAAAAGAAGACTCTTTTGGGCCTGTGCTTTCCACTCAGGACCCTGGAATGGATGATTCAGATGATTTATATTATTCTTTGTGGTAAAGATTTCTCAAACACTATCAAACATAACGCACTTTGTGGGGTCTGAGATTCCCGCTGTACGCTCTAGAGTATGGGTATTTCTGGGTATTTGTTTTTTGTGTTTCACCTGTGTATTGCACTCCGGAATCCAATTTTTTCTCCCCTCTTCGATATCGTCTTGTATTAGGCCACGTGTTGTGGCGCTGGTGTCGATTCAACTTAAACGGCCATTGACGCGAACATTTTGTTCCAGCTGTTGGATCGAATAAACATCCCTCAAAGTCTCAAAGTGAAAGTTTCCCCAAAGCGCATGAGGTACAATGATTTTCGTTCCCAGTATGTCTTATAAAAGATTGTTGTTTGAAGGTGAAAACTGAAAATTGTTGAAGGACCCAAGTTCATGAAGATATCAATGGTGAAAATGAAAAACCATCCCATTTTGTGTTAAAATTTGATTATGTTTCCCAGCTGGTCTTGTTGGCTTCTTTGCCACACGTATTCGCCATTGAAGTCAGTGGCCAATTATCACCGCTCAATCCACTTTGCGCAGGAGATCCACTGTCCAAAACGAACAATACAGGGTAAGGTAAAGCCATGAGTCGTAAGTTACAAGTCACATGCAAAAAATGAACATGATATTTTAAAAACCGTTTTATACAAAATTCGACTGACGACTAGACTACATACTACATTACCATACTGCATAATACATATTATACAAATACTCAGGTAAAGTTGAGAAACAGTCAGATCAATCCATAGGAGAGCAGCGCTAAAAATCACAAACAACAATTCAGAAGCGCCGGCGTCACACGCACATGCGATTTCATCAACAACAAAACGATCATGTAAAATGGAAAATCCTTTAGCGACTCCAGCAAGTGAGATGGCTGTGGCTACTTTCAAGCTCTCACTCTCACTTCACTTTTCCTTCTTCTTTGTCATATCTTTCTTTACCCCCTTAGGATCTTTTGAACTACTTGATGAACCACCACCCTCCTTCACAGATCGAAAGAACTCTTCAGTCTGGCCGTCAGAAGTTGGGTAGAAGTGCACCTAGGGGTCCGTCAACATCAACATGAGAATGAATCATTCATTCGATCTTGCCAGAATCCCTATCCCAATCAACATCATTCAACAGTCACCATGAAAAGTCATAAATCTGAAATCTGAAACATCATCAACATCAACTATCATCCTCACCGATCATCACCGCCATCATCATCCTCATCAACGTTGTCACAACCACTTAGTTGAACGCCTACCAAGTCTCTAGCCTCTACCAAGTCCCTAGTCTGTCCAAGTCTGTCCGTCCTCTCTCTCTCTCTCTCAGACATGTTTGGTTTGGTTCTTGGGGCCAGGAGTCAAGCTTAAAGGATCAATGATAATGATTCGATTCGATAGTAATTTAACTTTAAATTTTAAGAATGCTTATCCGATTATCCTGACTATTTAAGTAAGTAGAAGGACATTCATTAGTTTCGTGAAGTGAGTTGAGTTGTTTGTGGCAAATATGCTTTGCTAAAATGAGAACAAGGCTTCAAGGCACTGGGGGAGTCTTGACCTTTCGCTTGCGCGTCTTCTGGTCTGGTGTAGATGGAGGCGCTGGTGAACTTGCACAGCCTTTCCCTTTTGCTTTTCTCTTTGGTGATACCTTGTTCTTGGCCTTTGGTTTGGGCGACGGTTTTGCTTTGGCGGCTCTTTTCTTTGGTGAGAATCGTTGTTTTGCTTTTGCCTTCGCCTTTTGCTTGGGCTTCGGTGTGGCTCCGTGCTCGCTTGTTGCCGCTGGGGCGGTGAGATCTTTGTTCAGTGTGAAGTTGTACTCCATCCTTTTTGAAGGGTTTGACAGGATGTTGTATGCATTCGAAAGCTTTTGGAACTCAAGTGTCGCAGTCGATGCTTGACCGGATGCCTGCTTGTCTGGGTGCACCTGTTTGGATCTTTGCAAGTAAGCCTTTCTCAGTTCTGCATCGTTTGCTCTTGGGTCTACATCAATGATCTGATACAAAGTACGGGTATCTGGCTTTTCTGGCTCTGTGGGTTCTGGCTCCGGTGCCTCTGGCGGAGGTGGAAGTGACAGGGTAATGTCATCCGGTGATGGAGGAGAAGGTGGGAGGCCAGTGTCCGTTCTGCTGAACAATGGGGTAGTAGGGGCTGGATTCAGTGGTGCCTCTGGCTGACTGACTGGGTGCCCCTCTCCGAGCCTCAGTGGGGTATCTGGCGATGGCGGGGCGGGAGGAGGTGTTGACGGAATGTCTTCCTTCTGCTTGTTCTCATCCTCAGGCTTTGCTTCCGGGGGGGGAAGGGGTGTTGACGGGATGTCTTCCTTCTGATGGTTCTCATCCTCAGGCTTTGCTTCCGGGGTGGGAAGTGGTGTTGACGACATGTTTTCCTTCTGCTCGTTCCCATCCTCAGGCTTTGCTTCCGCAGTTTGCTGCTCACGATCATCTTCAGGGCTTGCACTAGTTGCTGCTGTTGGCTCTTGCTGTGCAGTGTGTTGATGTCCAAGTTCCTGCTGCGTTTTCTCTTGTGGTTGTTGCTGCTCTGGAACCTTTTGCGTATGTGCCTCTGAATGTTCCTGATCCTTATCAACCTTGGGTTCTTGAGAGGGTGATCCCTTTGCTTCTTGAGCTGCTTTGCCTGAGCTGCTTGAATTTGACTTTGCATTGGTAGGACTACTGCTCCTGTCTGCTGTTTCCTTTGCTGAGTCAGAGTTCTTCTCATGAAGGTCACAATCCTTTCTTGCACTTGAATCCACTGCAGCATCCTCCGTCATCTCCTGAGTGAGGACATGAGGAATGGTGGAGATCAGTTTGGTTCAGTGTCAAGAAGTCAATACTATTGAACAGTGAACAATGAACAGTACATTGATGTCTTACTTGAATAGTGTAAAGTTTAAAAGCTCTTGTTGTTCATCATCATTGTGTTTTTCGCTCATGATTCTGATCAAAGAAGTCCAGAGTCGAGATCAAAGAAGTCAAAAGTGGAAAGAAGCAGTCTGTTTAATGAAACAGTCAAACCCAGCCACTGCAATACTAAGCTACACCAGTAAGGTTTTACATACCTTTTGCTTTTACATAAGTTTTGTTTTGTCACAGTTTGTCTTTCTTTAGGAAATCAGAAAGACAAAGCAAAGATCAAGTGGCATCATGCGTTCCATTGATGATGTTGATTGCCTCTTGTGCCAGTTCCTCCCAAGCTGCTTTAAGTCCGTCATGAACTTGCCCAAAGATAGGAGAACTCAAAGCGGTCAGCAAACGTTCTGAAGTCACTTTGCAATCACGAAGCCACTCAACAAAGACAATGACGCAGGATGATCGTTCTGCCATGATTGAATTTGTCCCAGGCTTTGCCTGAAGCTGCAAGCTGCAAGAGAGATCCCGTATTTTCAATTGTGACAATGTCACTTGTAGAAACAAAAACGGAGATTGGTTTCATTTGAGAGAGGTAAGTAAATAACCAAAAAATGAACTTGCAACGTGCAAAAATCCACTGGCCTAGCCAGGGCGTCTTGACACCCAAAATGTTTTTTGCATACTTTTACAGACACTTGAAAAACCACAACTGAAAGAACAACCATCCATATCCATCCATCCATCCATCCATCCATCCATCCATCCATCCATACATCCATACGTCCATACGTACATGCATACATGCATACATGCCTGCATGCATGCATGCCTACATGCCTATATGCCTACATGCCTAGATACTACATACACGCCTAACTACATACATACCTACATACCTACCTACCTACATACCTACCTACCTACATACCTTCATACCTAGTTACCTACCTAGCTACCTACCTAGTTACCTACCTAGTTACCTACCTAGTTACCTACCCAGTTACCTACCCAGTTACCTACCTACCTACCTACCTACCTACCTACCTGCATACAGACATACAGACATGCAGACATACAGACATACAGACATACAGACATACAGACATACAGGCATACAGACATACAGACATACAGACATACAGGCATAGAGACATACAGACATACAGACATACAAACATATAGACAGACAGACATACATACATACACACATACACACACATACATACATACATACATACGTTACAAAACATGATAAATTATTCATATTCAGATTAATATTCAGAGTCAGATTTGGATTAAGTAACAATACCCATTTGCATGTTTTTGAGGTCTACTGGTATTTACATATATACATCATACATATATGTTTTCTCACCTCATTCATTACGTGTATATATATATACAAATTAAATATGATATATATATATATATATATATATTTAATGTATATATATTATATAATATAATATCATCATAGTATAGTTCAATATATTATGAGAAATATGCATGCGCTCTGACACCCTGCCGGGTATCTTCAGTTTCTTCTTGTGAAAAAATGATGAAATGTAGTGAATAATTATTTGCCAATGTATTCACATAAGCTAGACAAGTTGCTTTCTCAGTGCTCAAATCAAGCAATTGCTGAAGCCTTCCCAACATGTACTTGCCATTCTTAGTGAGAAAGCTGTCCTGGATCGATTCCTCTTCAGCATGGTCATTTTGCATCTTCTGTGTGTTTTCAGCATTAACCCCAACAGGCTCAGCCTGCATAGATCCTGGTTTGGAGCCTGCTGGTTCATCACGTTCAAGATGTTCCTGCTTCACAGCCCTTTCCTGTAAGTGTTTGAGCATCGCAAGTGAAGACTTCAACTTGCGCTCGATTTTGGCATGCTTTCCCTTGCACAAGGTACTCACTGTAGAGAGGGTTTCCACATCAAAGTGAAGCAATTGGTGATTTGTCAGCACTGGAAAATCCTAGTGGCTGAATGAAATCCCGATTTATCAAAAAGAACTTGGAACATTTTACAACATACATCTACATTCAAAGGAAAAACTATTTACTAGTTTCATGTACCCCGCCTCCCATACTAACAGAGTGGTCCAATCAGTCCAAATATCACATAAGTTCTGAATATACCTGAATGAAGTCAGTCAGGGAAATCAAAACCATTTCTTGAAACTAACATCGAGAGTCAAGAACGTTCCCAACTGTCTCCTCTGCAATCTCCCCAGTAGGAGGGTTTCTCAGCTGAAACGAATTTACAAAGCCGACAATGTAGAGAGGAGGAATGACAATGCCTTGGCCCTTCTTTAAATGCATGTAGAAGCCGCCCATGTCCACAAGGTCTTTCACAGGGAGCTCAGAAAAGTAATCCCCCAACATCTCAATGTCAGCCCCATCAACATCAGTTGGCAAGCCCTTCCCATGCGATTTGCAGAAGCTCATCAACAAAGTTTGAACTGATGCACCGAAGATCAGCTGTTCACCATCGTTGACATAATAGCAGCGCCCCCAACCCAGCTCCGAGACACCCACTTGTGTCCAATCAGGCCCAGAGTAAGCGTTCCTTGTGGCCAACACCTTTCTCCAGTTGCAAGACTCCCACTCCTCCTTGGAATAGAGCTTTTTGATTGCGGAAGCACCTGGTGCGCGCTTGGCTTGACCGTGCTTGATTTTGAATATTGGATCCTTCTTGAAAATATTAAGCCCTAAATGCATAACCCTCACACAATCCGCAACAAAGGATGAGTTTTGATTTGTAAGTAACTCACAATTTAATGTTTGGATGTTTGAATGAATAAAAAAACATGAACAGCCCCCCACTTCAACTTCTTTAAGTTCAATTTAACTGCACATGAGTGGCAGAAACACACAATAGTCTGCAAAGACAAGCCACCAAATGAAATCTGGCTCAACAACTCTTTGGAACAGTCTTTGAGAACCGAGTCAGGGCATGCGATGTCAACATCATAGCTGGCAAAGAGGTAGGACAAATCCCCTGAATCCATGCTTTTCTTGATGTCTTCCGAGAAAGCGTCTTTGGAATACCCCAAACAGGATGTGAAGTCAAAGTAGTATGCGTTCTCATCTGCGGGTGGGTCATACATGAGATCATCTCCATCAGTGGCAAAGTTCCCGAAACGCACGCATTCGTTGAAGCAGTCATCCTGCCAGAAACAAAGACACACAGGACTTGACTTAGCTATCTATGTATGTATGTATGTATGTATGTATGTATGTATGTATGTATGCATGGAATGTTTGTAGTTGAAGGTACGGTACGATTGCACATTTGTTTGAGTGAAAGGACATGATTGTAAGAAGGAGAACTGATGAATGTAGGAATGAAGAATGACTGATGTATAATGTGTAAATTAGGCAGTCTAACGGTCTTACAGGCACGATTCATACATGACACTTGTAAATTTGTAAATACTAAATACTAAATACAGTGATCCTTTTAGGGCCATGGTCCTTGGTATTGTCCAACTCAGACCAATCTTTGACCGTACTGCTCCAAAAACTGTCATTCTCAAAGTCGAGACCTTGAACTGGCCAGGTAGGTGGATATTCAAATTGATTTCCTTCATCCTCCTCAGTGTCATGTTTTCCTGGAGCTTCCTTCTTGCCTGCGTCACTAGAAGAGGAAGAATCAGACTCAGACTCAGATTGTGGATCAATCTTTTTCTTCTGTTCCTTGTTCTTTCCCTTGTCAGCCTCACTCTGACTCCCACCCTCATCAGACAACGAAGATTCAGCATCTGCTGCTTCTTCCTTCCCCTTCCTGCCAAGTGATAGAACATGATTGAAGAACTTGGTGTTGGTAGTTGCAGTTTTGCTCTAGTTTTAGTCATCTTTGAGGATATAGTTTAAGTGGCTCAATGGTTTTTATTTTTTACAATGTCAAAATCTGACATGGAGAGGAGAGTGTTGAACAAACTGGCTGGTAGCAACTGGGAATGCGCAAGGGGCTCAATGCGACTCATGACATGTGAAGTTTGTACGCTAAAACGGTCCTTCTGCATTCAGCTGCTTTTTCCTCAGCAATTCTCTTCTTTCTCTCCAATCTTTCTTGCGTTTTCTTGTGAACTTCATCATTCTTTTCTGAGGCCTCACGAAAGTCTTGTGTTGCCTTGTCCAGTTCCTGTATTCCTTTCCTGACAGCAGCCTCATGTGACTGCATCACTTTGTCATAATCTTTCAATCCCTTTTTTGACGGTTCATCCAAAGCGCCTGCACGTTTGGCTTTGCTATTTGGGGATGGCTCTGGCAACCTTTCAGCTGTGCCCAAACAAGTGTTCTTTCTGGCCTCTGTGCCAAGGTCCAGTTTCGGTGCGGTAGCAGCCAATGAAAGGAACAAAGATGACACCATCTCTTGCAACCTCAGGCAAACAGGATTGACATCTGATAAAATTTCACTTGTACTTTCTTAAAACCGATCCTCACCACTCATCGAATGGTCAATTTGGCCACTAGTGTTCATTGGTCACATTCTACATTCTGTGTCACCAAAACAAAAAACAGGAAACTGGATAGCCACGGAACCCTTTTGTTTGAGGAAACTGCTCTGCTGCTCGCAGCGATGCACTAACCTCCAAGTTCAAAGCTTTCACCTTCTCAGTCCATTTGTTGGAAGTAAGTAGGACAGTCTTTTCAACATCTAGCTTTTGAAGTCTGGCTGCGAGCTTCGGGTCACCCTTCTGTTTTTTGGTTTTTTTCTGAGTGTTCCCTTCCCCATCAGATCCTTCCCCCTCATCATCACCTTTGCCTCCACTGCGGCCACGGCCGGAACCCTTCCCGGAATTGGTTGATTTGGCAGCAGCAGTCCTCTTCGCAGGAAGGCTCTTCTGAGGCCCTCCTTGGCCAAAAGGTCTTGATCCTGCAGGAGGTCAGTTGTCCAAGTGCATGAGTCTTTTTAGTTTTGAAGATAACACTGAAAAGTCCATTGTTTATCTTTGTTTTGAGGCGCAGTTTGCGATGGCTGTCTGGGTCCTACGCTGTCTAAATCCTATAGCGACCTCTATTAAATTTCTAATGCTACTGACCCTCCAAGTGCTGTCCTTGGGCACCTGCTCCAATGTCCGCTTCTTTGTCCAGCTTTGAACCCATCAGAACTCAGATAGGCAGCGGGTAGATATAGAGAGAGAACCATGTTTGAAGATTCATCACCATGTTCGGATTGATTGTGCTAGCCATGTTCAGTCAGTGTGTAGACTGTGTCGTATTCTTGTTCCACGCATGAAGTCTGTTTTAATGAAATAGAATTAAAATTTAAAACGCAAAAATACATATTCTAGATTCTAGATGTACATGCAAAACATGTGATATCTTAGTGTTTTTATTTTTCTACTTCATAATATGTATGCGTTGTGTTCTTGTAAGGACAGAAGAATCAATAACCCTCTGTGTTATGTTGTTTAAAGTATCGCCCCTGGGCTCTTTTCTCCACAGACTACATTCCATCCCTCCAACCCCCAAACCAAGCCAAATGACTGTTCCTCTCGTCCCGGATAGCATCAACATCGCCAGCCGCCACCCTTCTGGTCTCACAGAACCCTCTCTTATTGTTGACCTGAGACCCTGTGACGTGACTTGCTGTTCCAAGTGATGGGCAAGCAAGGAATAGGACACCATCCGAGTAGTATCGATCCACGTGTCTATCAGCATTATGCTCATCCCACTTACTCTGCGCGGTCTCCCGGTCAACACCATACCAAGTCCTGTACTTTTTGATGAACCTCCAGGGAGGACAAGTTCAATTTTGATTGCCTTAGATAAAGTACATAACCTTTGAAAAAAGGTATCTATAGTCCTGTTGTCAAATGATGGCAAAATTCATGTGGTTCTTGATTATATCAAATCAACACCTGAACTTGTTTCAATCTACCTGCCTTCCTTCGGTCACATAAGGAATTGCCAACTTGTCATCATCATACTTGTTGTGCTCAACCTGGCAGGGGGCAAAAGTTTGAAGTGAGCCACGAAAAAATGCAAATAAACCACTCGTTGGGGTCCTGGAAATAAGGTCTTATAACACTTAGAAACACTCAGGCCCTGAAGTGGGACCCCTAACTTTGGATATAGATAGTGCGGCTTGGTAGCTACAACCCCAACATACCCCAAACAAGTGCAGCTTAAAAGAACAACCCCAAAGACCTGATGGGAAGCGTGAAGTTTCCTTGCCCGCCCACGTTGGTTCTCGCACCGGTTGGCAACCACTGCTCTACGCCGCTGTTCATTGGTCATGTTCTCCCAATTGGAGGTGTTGTCCCTGACATATCTGTATGATGCATGGCATGGTCTGCACTTGTGCTTCTTGCCATACTTCACCACCCCCGAAGCTGGAAAGAAACCTTCACAATCCATACACCTCACATTGCAAAGTCTAACTTGGGAACTTGAGGGACAGTATTGCCTAACTTTGTATGGTTTCCCTTCCCTTTGGAGGATACAGGCAAGTGAAACAGTCTTAATCGAATCGAAACTTCAAATACCCAAATAAAGAACCAGGTACTCCACTTGTAGCTCACCATCATCTTTGCCCTCTTCGCTATCACCACCCATTGTCCACAACGGTGTCGAAGTGCAAGACAGCAAGAGGAACACTGATTCAGATCACCTACTCAAATCAGCCAAATGGCTTCTTTTAGTTGAAGGAAACATGGAATTACAGAGTAGCGCTCGCAAGACTCACTAAATCTATCAAGCTATCTTGCGCAGCTACACACACCCCACAGAGAAGAGAAGACAAACATACTTTCCCAGTGGTTGTGTCCTGTCATCGTCAGCTTATTGATCTAGGCATTCCTAGAGGCTTCTGTACACAGCAGTCCAAGGGCAGCCACGGTACCAACACTTGATGCATGCATTGAGTTTCCTGCTAAGAAACATTGTGCTGTGTTTGACACAGCATCCAAAACAACAGGAGCACAGGACATTGCATTCGCAATCTCCAGCGTAACAGGGATTGAATGTAAAGCCAAAAGTTCAATCCCTTTCACATATCGCTTTTGATCCTTAAGCCACAAGTGACTGCAGCCGGTAGTCACTGTGCTCAAGGTAGCCCCAGACTTTTTTGGTCTGTGCCTTGGGTCTTGGTTCAAATCCCACGCTAGTGAATTCGGATGGAGCATGTCATAGTTGCCCTTTCCTGAGCAGCACACAGATCTGAAGATGTGTGTTTTTATTCTCTAATTTAATTAAATGTTTGAACAAGGGTGGCCCCCACACCTTCCAAACTGGAAAAAAATACCACAACATCAGGTATCCAACACACAGAGCAAATTTGGATACTCACTGAACACAATGCTAGTCACGAGTTGCATAGCCACCAGCGGGATTCGGGTCAGGTGGCAAATTTGGCAATATGTCTGTGAATGCCACAACGCCCAGGGAGTGGGGTGATACCTTGAGCTTGTTCAACATGTCAATTGGGTCGACCAACATCCTAGGGGCAAGGGAGCGGCTGAAGCAAATAATTTAAGTCTTGCTTGGACAGTTTATGTCAGTAATGTTGAAATACTGACTAAAAATGCAACCCAGTAACCAAAGCAAAAATTGCTCAAACAACAGTCCAAAGGATCTTGATATTCTTGGAGACCCTGCTGTACAGCAAATATTTTCTAGTTCTGGACACTGGGAAGCCACTCTCGGTAGGATCCAACAAGGCCTTGAGGAGCAGCTTGAACTCGGTGCCTCTCAGGGATAGAGGTGTTTAATCCATGATGTTGTCAAACCCATACACGTTCAGGTTTCCAAAGGTCATTCCTTTATCACTGCACCCTGGTGTGTGTTGATGGGAATAATTACCATCTACATACAGACAAACACCAACCCTCACCAGTCCTAGGTTGTCTGTCATCCGCTGATCAGGAAATTCTTTCACGTTCTCATGTAGCACCACATCGAATTGGCATTCTCTGATCCACTGAATCCTTGCTTGAAATCAAACCACAACAACACACATGCTCCCCACTGATATGTCAACATAGTTTTCTTATTTGAAACCGGTTCACCTCTTGTCAAACCTTGCCTTGCGGACGTGAACGCGTCGCTACGCAAAACAAACTTAAAAAGGCAAAAAGGCCACATAAAGCCAAAACATTTTTCTTCCAAAAGAAAATGAACGCTGAACCTGCTCCGACGTAAATTCACATGAAATAAAACTCCGGACATGTGCAAACTGAAAACGCTGCCTTTCAAAATGTTGTGGACAGAACGGCGGTCACCACTTTTTTCACAGAAATTGGGGAGTCAGCGAACCTTCATCCGTTTGCGTTCGGGGCTTTCCCTTCACGCCTGGAGGTGGGATGGGTGTGGGGGGTCAGACCTCCAGGCGGTGAGAACATTGTCCCACCCACCCACCCTTGAAATGAAATAAACGGTGGACAAAGAAGTTAAACAGATCACTCAAGACCAAGAAACTTCTTTGTAAAACAAAACCACCTTGAACCTTGTACCTTGGAAAGGTTGGGTTTTGTTTGTTAAGGTTGTTTGTTAGCAAGGGAGATTTCCGTTCAATACTTCCTCATTACCAAGAGAGCACACAAGCTCAGGGGACGCGGTAACAGAAGACCAGCGTAAGGGAGGAAGCGTAGAGAAACGGACACCAGAAAGACAAACAACAACGACACGAACGCAAGTTGACAGACAAGAGGACGGTGGCATCCCACCTGTGAACCTAGTACAAATAAAGGCGTATCACTAAAGTGAGCCGCAGCTTATTTGAAACCGGTTCACCTCTTGTCAAACCTTGCCTTGCGGACGTGAACGCGTCGCTACGCAAAACAAACTTAAAAAGGCAAAAAGGCCACATAAAGCCAAAACATTTTTCTTCCAAAAGAAAATGAACGCTGAATCTGCTCCGACGTAAATTCACATGAAATAAAACTCCGGACATGTGCAAACTGAAAACACTGCCTTTCAAAATGTTGTGGACAGAACGGCGGTCACCACTTTTTTTCACAGAAATTGGGGAGTCAGCGAACCTTCATCCGTTTGCGTTCGGGGCTTTCCCTTCACGCCTTTCCACCCCCATCTTGTCAATTTCGTGAAGGGAGTAACACGGCTTACATCTCGTGTAACCCGCCGTGTCCAAAGTTTGAAACTCAAGACGAGACGGAGCGTCTCCAGGGTTCGAAGGGGATGGTACTCTGGCGTACCAATTCATGGACTGAGTGAGGACGTCCATCTCGGCATTTATGACCAAGAGCTCGTAGTTGTCAAATACAGGAGAAAAAGACCGGATGAGTGTCGACTGAGCTGAACTGTTGTCGATAAACCAAAGCACTGCTCTCCCAGCGATCTCTCTGATCCAGGTCAACTTTGAGACAAGCACTGGAAAAATCTCAGCTTGGCAAATCAACTGGGTCTTGCCTGACGCTCTCCATTTCGAGGTCCAACACTGGGGTATGTCATCCCCAAAATACAGAAAACGGTCTTCAAAGAAATCAGCCAAGACTGCGCCGTGGGTCACCTTTAAACCCTCTTGTTCACAAGCACCGTCAGTAAAGATCAGGATGGGCTTTGTCCCTGACCAGCCAGCAACAACACGAGGCCCTGACCTCTGCAGCATCTCCAACGCAGATCTGATGACCTGTTTTGTTCGTTCGTCCAAAAGCACTAGAGGGCCAGACCGTGTGGCTTTGGCTATCAGCTGCACTGCCAGCTGGGTGCATTTTCCAAATGTATGACCAGCCGCATAGAGCAGCCTCCCACGCAAAGTCTCTATCAAGGACTGTGGCACCTTCGTCTTGTTGAGTATAGTATTCACCAGCTGCGTAATGTCGTCCAACCTGGTAGGCTTATTCCGTACCATGATTCTTCCATGGGACATTTCTGAAAGATCCACCACCGCACCAAGCATCTGAAAACATGCTGCAAATGGAAGTCTCTTCTCCTCAGAGGTAGATATCTTCCATCCAAGAAGCTTCATCACCATCTCCGCAGTCTCCCAAGCATTCTGACACAATGGGAGAGTTTCCAACTGGCAGAAATCGTCGAAAAAATTTGTATTGACCAGCAGGAACAACTGGGCCATGATGATCCTCAAGGCACGGGCCATCCTATTAAAAGACATCACGGCCGACACCGACCCAAATGGGAGTGCCACTGAATCGAAAAATTCGACATCGCCCTTTTCAGGGCACCAGACTGCCAACACCGATGCCCATGAATCTTCCGGGTGTCGAGCCAACTGCTTATAGGCTGCTTTCAAGTCCAGCGCCCGTCCATGAAGCGGCCGCCAGACGCTGGCAGCTGGGGTTGCACCACTTGCAACCTTTGGGAAGCCTCCACCATCAAATTCGATGAGATCCGCCCCCATAAACACTCTAGCGGTGTTGACCACCTCGTCAATGCCATAAAGTGCAAGCTTCTCTGTGGTGGTGACCGAGGAGTTGATCAAAAATTCAGAAAAGTCATCCACAGCTCTCACCTTGCCTCCTTGCTTAACTCCAAACCTCTTTGAGGGGATCCAGCAACCATTATGACGCTCGTCCATCTGTTGCATAGAGAAGGGACCCTGCACCCAACCATCATGAAGCTGTTGCATCGTTTCCTGGTAAACGGCCTCTGAAATTTCGGGGTCAGACGCCACCCGTTTGCAGGAGGCGTATATCATACGCTTGGCCCAGACGCAGAGTCCCTGAGTTGCTTAACTGTAATGGCTGCCGGACGCAACTTTCTTGGGAACTGACCAGACTCACACATCTTTCCAGTTAACCTGAAGCCTTCAGTCAGCTCATTGAACAAAGTCTGATCTCCCACTCCAGCATCGTTGCACATCTGCTTGAACAAACACAGGCGTTTGCCTGCCAGGACCTCATTAACCTGTGGGTCCATGGATTGTCTCAGGCTCTTCTCCTCCGCCATCAGGTCAACTGCGACTTGCATATAGTGCTTCAAGGCCTTTGCACGGAAAGCCGCAACATCAGCTGCTGGCCAATCTCTGATCGCCAAAATGGCACGCAAGTTGGAGGACTCGACCAGTTGGGGTGAGTCCAATGGGTGTTGAAGAGTTGCTGCAAGCCGCAAAAATTCCTCTGGTGACCTGTACACTCCAAACTCTGAAATTTGAATTTCCTCCTCGCCTTTGCTCCCCTTTTCGACCACTTCAGTTCGAGTGGAAATGCATTTAGAGTGTATGGGAATCCCTTGAAAAGGGGGAGGTGCTGATTCAGTGATGACCTTCGGAACTTCAACTGCAATAGATTTCAGCACACCTTGAACTTAAATTCTGATAGAAGGAGCGGTGCCAGCTTGCCTCGAGGTTGAGTACCTGCTCCCATCCGCTGGTTGACATCCATGGAGGGGCTGTTCTGCTCAAAAACTTTGCCCTGACGACGCATTTGCAAAAAAATGCAAATGCCAACTGCTTGCACAACTGCCATGGGTATTCTGCCTCGGTGCTGGTCGAAAAAACCTGCTGTCCAGTTTCCTTTGAAAGTGTTTTCCCCCATGGCAGGTGTTGATGTCGGCCATCGCATTCTCTCTTAAGGTTGTCTGCTATGAAGTTCATTAAGAAACGCGTCTTCTTCAAGCGCTGCCCTCCATACATGCAACTG